TTTAATCTGACCTCCGGGCACGGATTCTCTTGTTCTATAATACAACGCATGTTACGCCGCTAGTATCCGCGGCTGAGTTCGTTCCAGCTTCCGGGTCCGCGATCTCGGTCCGCGATCTCACACAGCGTTCTGAATAACGTAGTCCTGTATTGGTGATCGGTTACCGGCGGGGGCCGCTGCCCGACTGCTGCACGGCCGCACCGTGCCCGCGAGCTCCACGAGCTCAGCGCCACCTAGCTACTGCACAAAGTTCAGAGGGCAAGGGCTACGTCACCACACACTACCCCCCTCAACAGGAATGACAGTCGTGGCGAAGCAGACAACACAAAAACTGGCCGAAATAAGACTAAACATCCGTCTAAAACTATTTCAAAGCAAAGCCAGTCGCTTCGAACACGACTTTGTGTCGCCGTCACATTTCGGCTATGAGGCGACGTGGCTGCTTCCGCTGCCTGACGGGCATCCAGGATGTGATCGATTGCGGCCTGAAACACCGAACTGCACGCCGATATGCCGAACGGTAGGGATTTCATCCGATACCGTCCTCGGTGCGTGACGACTGTTGTCATATCCCGCGATTCCTCCGCGAGCTCCAGTTGCAGGAAGGCGTCTTTCAGGTCCAGTTTGCAGAACCGCCGTCCTCGGACGCTCGCAAAGATGTCCTCGGCGGATGGCGTAGGATGCGTCGCCATTTGCAGCTGCGGGTTTACCGTCAGTCGATAATCACCGCACAGACGCACACCGCCATCAGCCCGTGGCACCGTCACCAGTGGTGTTCCCCAGCCGGGCGCGTCGTTTGGACCGACTTTTTCCGCGATCCCGGCCTGCACCCAGCGGTCGAGCTCCTGCTCGACGGCCGGTTTCAGTGCATATGGAGGCGAGCGCACCGGCCGTGACACCGGCCGTGCATCCGGTTTCAGTGTCAGGTGCGCCTTTACTCCACTGATGCGCCCCGGTGTGCCGTCAAACACCGACTTGTGCCTGTTACAGACCGCCTCCAGGTCCGCCGTCCCTCGGTCCGGAGTGACGTCCATCACCGCCGTCTCTCCGCCGCCCACACTGATGTCCAGAGCCCGCAGCCAGTCGCGGCCTAGCAGACGGCGATCGCCAGGCAGGTCCACCACGACCAGTCGCAGTCGATGGTCCCGACCGCGAAACCTTACAGAGACGTCTGCCTCACCCCGGCGAGGGATCCGGTGACCAGTGAATGACGACAGCTGCAGCTGAGTAGGTTTCAGTCGCAGCCGCGGGATGACCGTGTCCCGCCCCACAGCAGTGATAGGGCTGCCGGTGTCCACCACCATTTTGATGGCCACCCCGTTCACCGGTAAAGTCATTTTAACCGCCTCCGTTAGGTTAACAGCGTTTATCTGCCCCAGCCCCCACATGTCCGCCGTGGCAGTCCGCTGTCGGCATTGACTGCGCAGATGTCCGATCTGCTTGCAGCGGTAGCACCGCCGCGTCTCCGGTGCCGGTCTGACCCCGTCGGACCCACGAGTGTCAGATTCCCGGCGCCCCGGCCCCGTCGGCCGCCGTGACGCTGGTGCCGCACGCGCTGACTCATCCGGGCGTCGGCTCTCCTGACAGTCCCACTGAAAATGTCCCGCCGCACCGCAGCGGTAGCAGCGGACCGTGCGCCGCTGGCGGTTCCGGTTACCGTCAGCCGTGCGCTGTGGCCGGACAGCGTTCAGCTGATCCGGTCCCGAGGTCACCACATCGACCTCTGGCCGCTCGTCCAATGCGGTAGTTGACCGTCCGACGCCGTGAGACGCGTTACGGAACTGCGTCACTAGCATTTGCGTTTGCTCGTATGCACGAGCCGTAGCCTGGAGATCTTGCAGTGAAAAGTTGTCTCCTTTGGTTCCGACCGTCTGCAACAGTCGCTCCTGAATTTGTGGAGTCGCGCCGGCCACGCTCCTGTCCCGGAGCTCACGGTCGAGGTCAGCCGCCGGGAACCCGCACCGCCCAGCCACCGCCCGCAAACGAGCCAGGTACGCGTCGAATGACTCGCCGGCGTACATGCTCGTGCGGTGGAACGTTACACGTTCCGCCATAAGGTTAGACGTCGGCTGTAGATACTGGCGTAGTTTAGCCACGGCGGTGTCGTATTGTGACGTTGCAGCCGTTGCAGCCGGCTCCGGCAGGGTGTTGAACACGTCCTGGATGTCCGGCCCCATTAGATGGAGCAGGACTGCAGTCCGCCGCCGGTCGTCTGTTATGTCCATCGCCTCGGCGTAGAATTCCAGACCCTTCAGCCACCGGCTAAAGTCCATCCCCTTTGCAAAAGGAGCCACGCTCGGCAGTCCGGCCGCCATGTTTGCCACCGCCCCGAGCCTGCACCGGGGTCGGGCACTGCACACTGCACTGACCGCGCTGACTCACCAGTCACGCCACACCGAGCAGAGTCCAAAGTTCAGAGTCCAGCGGCCGCCGTCGCCGCCCGCACCACTGTTCACCCAACACGGAGGTGCAATACAAATGTTCCCAACAACGATACAGCGAAACGCAGCGGCAGAGCTTACAGCGTTAATGCACAAAATTGTGCAGCAGTATAAAAAAAATACTAAGCACTAAGCAGAACTAAGCACTAAGCAAGATCACCCGGCCCGACGCTGTCACTTCACCGTGATGTATATCCGCGCCGACCGCCGCGCACTGCACCATCCAGCACGCCAAACGAGTTTGTCCGAGTCCCGACCCTGTCACTTCCCCGTGACGTATATCCGCGTCGGCCACCGGTGCCGCACCACCAGAACGCCAAATCCGTGAGAACGCCACTTTTCCTTCCGAGATCACCACTAAGCGAATCTCATCCTCGTCGCCAAGTTGTTACGCCGCTAGTATCCGCGGCTGAGTTCGTTCCAGCTTCCGGGTCCGCGATCTCGGTCCGCGATCTCACACAGCGTTCTGAATAACGTAGTCCTGTATTGGTGATCGGTTACCGGCGGGGGCCGCTGCCCGACTGCTGCACGGCCGCACCGTGCCCGCGAGCTCCACGAGCTCAGCGCCACCTAGCTACTGCACAAAGTTCAGAGGGCAAGGGCTACGTCACCACAACGCACCTAACTATTTCTCTTAGCTGACCATCGGACGGAGTCAATAATACCGAGGAGCACCCCCCCCCCCCCCACCTACATCTGTTTGTCGTATCAAGTCACGTCAGCATGACATTTCACTTATTTGTAAAAGTCCCAGTTGAGTGTTGCCTAAGGTCACATCAAATTCCGTCAGAGTAATACGATGGCTTAGAGCGATCAAGTTGCTATTCGACAAAGAAAGCCAGCCAATATCAAACGGATCGTTTTCAAACAGACTGACGCAGCCAACAGGAAAACTACTCGGGATAAAAACTCTGCGACATATATTTGAGCTCAATGCTCACAGCTAGCGGCCTCCACAACAGCACGATGGCCATAACGACCGTAATAACTGCCGAAAAAAAATAAACCAACAAAATTGAACTGATCTCCAGCGCAGTATCGCCAATCATTGCAGTGAAGCTGGGGGTGATCAAGAGCGCAGTTAGTTATAGGCTGCTGAACAAGAAGCCAGTCTACTTCACAGAAAACATCGAACAATGTTGATTTCGATCTATGTCGGACACCGGTGGTAAAATCATACCAACGATACAAAGACATAAGAAAATAAAACCAGCCTAGGAATGACATGACGAAGTCACGCCGCCGAAGACAGAGTCCGGACCGCCTAGTTAAAACACTAGGCACCAAAGGACTTGCGTAAGAACTATCGACAGGTATGCAAACTGTTGCAAAAGACAGTACTGTTGCCTAGAGACCTTCAACGGGGGCATCACATCATTATGCAAGACTCCCACCGCATCTAGTATATGATGAGAAACAAAAAAAAAAAACGAGATTGTTAAAGGTAGTGTGCCAGCTTTCCTGGACCGTATGGAGTTAACGGCCCAGATAAGGAGAACCGGATTTTTAGAACTTATCCATACCTTCAAAACTCATGGAAACGTCTTAAATTCTTCAAATTTTGAGTACCCCAGTGCGAAATTCGCCCCGACGGGTTGTCGGTCGTACCCCAACCACATTTCACACCACTATGAACAATAAATGCACACACTGGAATCGCTATTACCGATAGGCTCATCCAATCAAGTTTCGATAAACCCGTTCATCATCATCTCCTGCGGTTTCGAACACGCCTGTTAGGTGGTGCGGTAGACCGCGCCCAAAGCCAGGGCCCCGGTAACGTGAGGTAGCCGAGTCGGGGCAGCGTGCGATGACCCAAGCCGGGGCCGCGCGTCCTCCCGGTGTCATGTGATAGCCCGGGGCTGCCCGCGGGGATGCGGTAGACCGCACCCAAAGCCGCGGCCCCGGCTTGGGTCAGCGCACGCTGCCCCGACTTGGCTACCTCACGTTACCGGGGCCCTGGCTTTGGGCGCGGTCACTTTGTGGTGCGGTGGTGGTGCGTCGGGCCGCGCGCTCTGACTTCGGCCAAGAAAAATGCGTCAGCTGATCATTGTCATTTCTGCCACTTTCATGTGGTGAGATGGGGTCATAACTTTAGAGACGGCTGTTTCATATCAATTATTTTACATAAAATAATATTTCAAACCATAAATTAATGTTCGACAGCCAAGTTAAAGAAACAATACCAATACAGGCTTACAGTTTAAATTCGACATTGTGTTGTCTACGATTAGACAGCTGATAACTCATTCCCGTACGTCGTAACTCTATAATGACCTTTGCTTATTGTCACATGTGCGCCGCATTCGCGATTGTTGCCGACGCCAGGGCGGTGTTTCACGGGACGCTGCTACCACGCTGCTATCAAATTGCGCGAGCTGACGTCACACTTGTGGTAGTGTTGGAGCAATGGGCCTGTTGATGTTTCCATGGAAACCCAATTTGACACGTGTAAAAGCAGCGTGCTGCTATCACCGGTGAAACAGGGCCCTGTTTGCAGGTCAGCCCACTACAGTTGTTATACATATCGAAAAACCGATAAACGTTTAGGCGAAAAAAGCGCTATTTTAGGCCCATTTTTGATTTTTTTTGCGATATTAGGTAAAAACAGAAGCTTCTTATCCTAGGAAAAATAAAATGGGAAATCATTGGAAGGTGGCACACTACCTTTAAACATGAAATTCTGCTGGTAACTAGGATTATTGTCAGTGTACGGGACCCATCTCTCCTGCACGGGGGATTCGGGGCGTAAAATGTCGATGTGAATCCACGGATGTCGATGAGGCTGGGTGATGCTCTCAATAAATCGACTTCGTTGTGCGACCGAGAAAGAGAGTCAATACCAATCGCTTCTCAGAGTCCTGGCACTCACTCCCTTTTCCGGATTCTCTTTCACAGCCGACAGTGCCACTCCCAGCTCCCCATCTGGTAAATACAAAACAAACTCACTGCCGAGTGAAGCAGACTCTGCTCACTTCTCCAGTAGGTAGAGCCGGTATATTCGCTCCTGTTGTTGATCGCTAAAGGTCGGCAGACAGTCCAGTCGACAGATCTCTGAGAACCCCTCGTCGGTGGTGGGCTCTTCGTATCGAGACCTGCGGCAAACCAGGGTGGGGATTGGTGGTAAGCGTGACAGTTTGCTAGGTTACCGGGATTATCAGACGGTTTTACACAGTCACGCCCAATGGGAGATTGTACCAATGTGCGCTAGACATGGGAAAGAGCCACGGGACGTAAGCCATCGGAGGATACCGAAGGGACTGGGCCAAGGGAGTAGGATACCGGCCACCGAACGACCGACAATGGGATATTGGGACGGTAGGGATCACTCTAGATCACTCTAGACAGAGTCGGCTGCACGATCCTCCTGTACAACGTCAGTATTCTCGTATTTAGCTTGCGACAAAATTTGATTGTGTTCTTATCAACTAACATAGCCATATCAATGATGTAAGATGAATTAGAGCCGAGTAACTCGTCGACATGTGGGCTTGCCTACGCCATCTCAAATGCCAGTCAAGGTAATCAGAAAACGACACATCAATCACATTAACCGCAGCCGCATTGACGCAAATGCTGCAGCTGAGCTTTTTACTTGCGCTACGTCAGATACGCTACCTCTAGGCTTTTCATTCTATTGACCAGCAAAAGCTTTTGGCAAAGTGCAATAGGAACGGCCTCCGCCCACCTGTTTCTGGACTACTTTACCGATATACCGCACTCATTGAGATTCAGTACTATTCTCAAGTTCGGTCGAGGAGACCGAGGTGGTTACCTTCTGAAGTCAGTTGCATTTAAACTGTTTCCATTTCTGAACCGTCCGAGGAGGTGCTTTAAGTAGGGATACGGCCACAGCACTCACAGTTCTAAAATGACGTCATGCTGTGGGAGGCTAAAACACAGCGCAAAGCCTGGCCAATCTTACCAATGCCGTAAATAGGATTTGGCAGCACTGGCCGGAGTTTACAGCACTGATATCAAAGATATCCTTTTTATTTACATCCAGCTAATCTTGTCCAATGATTTTGGTAGCGTTAATGATTATGAATGTTGCCTGAACGAATGAATAAGTGAATGTGGAATAGTTCTGGATGTTAGCAAATGCCGTGAATACGCATTCACAGCATTTGATAAGATTGAACAACGACGGAAACGACGTCATACAGCGGGATATAAAACACCCAGCGCCTGCCAGGCACGGCGGGGACAATGCTCGTGGCAAGAGTGGTGGGAGAGTGGGAGGGACCACGAACATTCACAAAACATCCACGTAGAACAGAAACATCCAAGAAATCCAAACGTGGCCATTAAAATAAATAAATAAATAAATGAATAAATATAAATAAATAAATAAATAAATAAAGCATGTTATCTTCAAGAGCTTACTTGAACATGTTGAAGATCATGTCGCTGACGTGCTGGTGAGACGAGTCGGTGAGCTCCCGGTACTGAAATGCAACAGACACGCCGTGAAATGCCACTGACGAGAAGACGCTCCTTTGGGCTTTGGGGAGCCCGCGCAGGTTCAGGAATTACATTGTTACGAGAAGAGGTTTCGAAACACTAATGGACATTAGAGCAACTAAAGACATCCGGAAACCCGCCCTGTGCTTAGGAAGTATGTACCATCTAACAATCATAATCATGTAGCAAACGGGCATTGTTGTGTAGTAAAAAAAAAACGAAAAAAAAAACGTGCGTTGTGTTTTTGTTGCAGCTGTCCGTCCAGCACCACGACCAACCTTGTTGTTGTGCCGCGCGTGCGCCAGTGTCGTGGTCATCAGCAGACAGCGGACGGGCACACCGAGCCGGCGGCCCAGCTGCACGTACCGGGCGCGACTCTCGCGGTCCCCGTTAGTGTTGTCCACCGCCGCGCTCTTGCCCTCCTGTCAGGGGGCACAGGCGTCAGAACGGATGGCATATTCCACTCGGTAGCTCCCAGCGGAATTATATGAATTCATAAGTGCCAACTGTGGCTGCCAGAGGATAAAGTACTGCTTACATAACGAGTGTTTGAAGCTTGCTCTATTTACAGAGCTTAAGCACAAAGCAGAGTGAGTCATGACAGCTCGCTCGGCAGCGTCCTCGAACAGAGCTTTCCTACATTCGCCGGAAGGAGCTCTTTATGGGAACTACAGGCCGGTAGCTAGGCTCTATTTCACCACAAGCAGCCCGTTGTAGGGCTACAGACTGGCCCTATTCTATTCCTGACATCCTGAGCAGACACACAACAGCAGCGCCTACCTTGATGGCCTGTTCGGCGACTTGGACGCACTTCTGCCACGATTTGAGCGTGTCCCGGTTGGCAGCCACGTAGCCAGCGGGCACCAGCTGGGTGGACGTCACGTGACTCTTGCCCGAGCCGGGCGGTCCGACCAGGACGGCAATCTGCCGGCGGGAGGCCGGGTCGGTCACGATGGTATATCACGTGATGTCACATCAGTGCACCTAGTTACGCTAGAGCTAGTGGAGGCTTTAAATATGCAATTAATGTACCATCCTTGCACCGAAAAACAAAAGCGTGAGACTGAAATGCTAACGCACAATTTACGTTGGGTAGGACAGACTTCAAACGTTTCAGTAATATCGCATTAAGTATGCCACAAGGCACGTACACACAACTTTATTACGCGACTTCAAATGAATTATGAATTGAATACGCTTGCCTCTTTATGAATACGCTTGCCAGGAGAGCTCAGCAGCCGCAACAAGCTCCCTAAAGATCTTTGCGACCTGGTACTAAAGACGCGTCCCATCGCCACCACAGCACGACTGAACAGAACCAGGGAACACGACCGCCCGTGAAGAACGACCACCAGCACATCAACATAACCTTCTGCCGCTTCTGCCGACAACAAACTTCAGCACACGCCACGCTTAATTATTCAGCACACATGCAGTTTTTAGATGTTTATGAAGCCCTGAGCTCAGAAATCAGCAAAGAAGCCTCGGAAGTCGGAAAACTAAAACAGGAGATGAGTTGAAAAAGGTGAAACATAACATATTTGCATTCAAGTTTGCAATAAATGTTTAGATCGTGTTTTAAGGTTGAAACCAAGGAACATAGAACATAGTTGAAACCAGGGTATATTCACAGTGTATATAAATAGGTATATTGAATTAGGGTTGAAACAGACTCTTTCCACAGTCAGGAAATCGCATGCGACAACCTATTCAAATACATGGAAGCACGCTCGCATCAATCGCACGCACGTCCCGGATGCGATTGATGCGGGAAGAATTATAATGTATTTGAATAGGCTCTCGCATGCGATTTCCTGAATGCGGAAAAAGTATGTTTCATCCTTTACTCCGAATGAGGGGCACTTAAAATGTAACGGAACATGCCTTGGATCAATCCTACAAAAGCGGAAAGACGGAGAATCCTACGCCTCTTCCTCTTCACCCATCCCCTTCCCCCAGAGACACCCCTTCCCAACTAGGCTCACGCTGACCTCACCTCCTTCTCAGTCCTTGCCGCGCTGACCTCCCCCCCCCCGACCAGGCCGTGCTGACCTCTGACCTCTAACCTCACCTCCTTCTCAGTTCGCGCCGCGCTGACCTCCCCCCCGACCAGGCTGTGCTGACCTCTGACCTCTGACCTCACCTCTTTCTCAGTCCGCGCTGCACTGACCGGTGCCGCCGTTCGGGCGCCATCCACCGCCGCCCGAGGGTCAAACTCCGGCAGCTGGTACTTGTTGGTGGCCGGCTGACCTGGCGGTGCAGGTTTACACGTGGTTAGTACCACAACAGAGCCCACACTGACCCACCGGGGACGGCCAGACACAGTCAGTGACACTGAGAACATGGTGATACCGGCAACTGACTCGTGCCTTGCACGCTGAGCATGACGGGAAATTAGCATATCTTCCCGAAAAAAAAGACAGAGTAGATACTAGTGGTGTCAATCGGAACTTCAATCTTCGGAATTCCGATTTTGTCCAATGTCCAATTCGGAATTCGGTTGGACAATGACAGCAGGCTTTGGACAACTTTGGACAATCGCTTGCTTCACCTCAACATTTTTATAAAGTAATCCTGTTTAACATTGATTGGCTATCAGAAAGCTCAGCTTTCGATATGATTAACACTTTTGAGCTGGTAACGACTAACGATACATTTAAAGCAAATTAAACCAGTATAACGCCTCATGGGGCGACTAACGGAGCGAGCGAGAGGGTGGGCCTTGCACGTGCGAAATTTCGAGGGGGTACCTCCAACTGACTTGTGCACGGCACCCTACTAACCGGTCTCTAGCGATGTGCCAAATTTGAGCACAATCGGCCCAGCCGTTCTCGAGATCTGGAAGCGGCACCCTGCACGTGCGCACGTGCAAAATGGGTCCCAACTGACTTGTGCACGGCACCCTACTAACTGGTCCCTAACCGTGTACCAAATTTGAGCGCCATCGGTCCAGCCGTTCTCGAGATCTGGAAACGACCCCTGCACGTGCGCACGTGCAGCAGCACCCCAACCTTAACACATGCAGATGAATTATCTGATGGAGACCTAACTGTGTACCGAGTTTCAATTCAATCGGCCCAACCGTTGTGCCGTTATTGAGGTTGCAATTTTGGGGGTTCTTAAAAAATGTCCAACTTTACCACGCGCCACGTGCGGTGGTTGGCAAGAACGCATGGTGGCCATCACACCACAGAACTTTTACGTCCAAGTGACATTCAGTAAAGAAGACCGCTTGTCAATCGGATGTCCCGTTCCAAAGATATTAGCTTTTGAAGAGCGTCCCCACGGCCGGCCGGCCGGCCGGCCGGCCGGCCGCTCATACTCAGAAATTTCCGTTAATCTAAGGAAAGACTCCGCTCGCTTCATGATATTTATTCACTTTCGATGATAACACAAAAGCAAATATTCTAAATAGCCAGACGTTTCGGCCTCAGGGTGCCTTCGTCAGTGACAATACCGAGATACTAATACATTAATAAATTAATCAATATAATCTTTTACACTTTCAAAATACACATGACCTGGACATTTTTCAACCATTCTGCACATGAGACTCGAGATTATAAAAACTAAGTATACATTTTTGACACGTTCAACTTTTAAAGCATGACCTTTCGATAAGATGATAATTGATATGCTACACTTCTTTTTCTTATACAAACATACACAGCACAATTGTCGGGCATAACTGTTATCAGATGTCGTTCAGTCGTATTCTTCCTTTCGAGATTCATTCTTAAATGTTTCTTTTTTTTCTCTCTCTCTCTCTCTCTCTCTCCTTTTCTTCTCCTTTTCGTTTTCCTTTCTACGTTTTCTTAGTTTTCATTAACGCCATTTTGGCTCCGGATTTTGCCCATGTAAAGAAGCCCGGCTTCTCATTCACTGTGTTTTCCAAAGAGATGTGAGCTGCTTCCAAAGCCTTTCGTATTGATTTGGACATTCCTTTTTCTATGACCTCAGCCTGGTTCCAGTTCGGTAAAGTTTCACATGTTTCGATGTGTAAGACCATTGCATTTGAACGATTGTGATTTCTTACTTCGCGCTTATGTTCTTTGAGTCTTGTTTCTAAACCTCTTCCAGTTTCTCCTATGTACGACTTATTGCAAGCTCCCGAGCAGGGAATTTTGTACACTACACTTTCTTCATTTGTTATTTCACGTTTTCGTCGAGTCAAATTCGCAATTTTTCTACCAGAGACTACTGCTACGTTCGATCCGATGTCACGAAGCTGGTTCGATATCGAGTCGGCATGTTTCGAGTGAGGTATAGATATAAATCGTCCTCGTTTCTTTTGTTCTTGTTTTCGTTTTTTCTTTTCTTCCGCACTTCGTTTCCATATTTCTTCTGCTTTCTTTTTTGCCCTAATAATGAAGCCTTTTGGATACTGTAACTTTTCAAACGTATCAAAGATATGTCTAATCTCTTCTGTTAGAAAGTCGTCACTGCAAATCCGGAAAGCTCGTAAGAAAAATCCAATCACTATACCACTTTTGACGCGCTCACTATGACCCGATAAATAGTGTACGTAATCTTCCTTGTTCGTTGGTTTGCGGTACACTGAAAATTTTATCCCACTTCCACATCTCATTATGAGTGTGTCCAGAAAAGGTATTTTTCTGTCGTTTTCTCGTTCGATCGTAAATTGAATTTTCTCTTCCACCTGATTGAGGTTTCGTAGTTTTTCGTCAAGGCAAACATCTTCCGGGACCACCACTAACACGTCATCAACATAACGGAGCCACGTACATTCATTTCCCATAATGCTTTTAAATCTGTTTTCTTCTAAGCGCTCCATATAAAAACAGGCAGCCACAGGACTGAGCGGAGAGCCCATCGCAAGCCCACTAAGCTGGGCATACTCTTGTCCGTTGAAAGAAAACGCATTGAAATGCATACAGAGTGAAATTATTTCTAAATAATGTGCTTTCGGTATCGGAAGTGATCGTTCGTCCAGCATATCAACCACCTCGTTTATCGCTTCCAATGCGCCTTCAACAGGTACGTTGGTGAATAGAGATTTTACGTCGAAGCTCGCCAATTTCTTGTTCGACATGTCGATGTTCTTAAGTCGTTCTATTAGTTCGGTTGAGTTTCTCAAATTTGCATCACTAAGGGATCCGAGTGCCCGTGTTAGAGGTTTGGCTAAGACTTTCGCGATTTTATGTGGCGCGCTGCCTATCCCTGATATAATTGGACGCATCGGGTTCCCTTCTTTATGTATCTTTGGCAGGCCCTTGAGCTGGGGAGACTTTGGAGACTCTCCCAGTAAGTTGAGGAGCTTTTTTCCCTTCTCCGATTTTCTTAAGATTTTCCTTGCGTTCTTGTTGAAGTGTGTGTTTTGCTTTTTACAGAAACCTGCTGCTTTTTGTGAATATGTTTCCACATCGGCCAAAAGATCGTTCAGTTTTTGATGATATGTTGGACTATCCATAATGACGATCCCACCACCCTTGTCTGCTTGAGTCACTAAGACATTTTCATCCTTTGACAGTTCTTCCAATGCTTTTAAATATCGTTTCGGCAGGCTGCTCGGTTCGTTATCGCTCATTATCTTGCATATCGCAAGGATGCCCTGAATAAACCCTTTGTCGGCTTCGCTGTCCTCCCACTTATAATTTCGATCAACATGTCCCATGTACGAATATCTGTCTATCCCAGAGTCAAACTTCAGTACCAGTGACAGTGCTTCTTTTTCTGTTTGAGACAATGGACGCCTTGAAAGGTTCGTAATAATGTTGACATTGCCAGCATTTTTCCATTTGCTTTTGTCGCAGAGTTGTCTCAGTTTTTGATTCAGATTGTTTCGCTGTCGTTCGTTTAAAGTCGCAAGTTTCGATTGGAGGTGGTTCGGTAGTCGTATGCCTGTAAGCTCGTCTCGAAGTTCGTAGAGCCTGTTCTTCAAATCTTTACAAGCTTCTTCCAAATATGCCCTGGCTGCCGTACTAAATGGCTTTTTCTCCGCGTGAAGTGATGTCGGCGCTGACTTCGGTAATACCATTTCATCTAGGCAGTCGTTCAAAAACTTGTATCTGTTAAGGTTACTTGCTATCTTTTTTCTTAAATTGAATTCCTTCATTACGTTAACGTTACCATTACATAACGTTACCATCTTGCGATATGCAAGATAATGAGCGATAACGAACCGAGCAGCCTGCCGAAACGATATTTAAAAGCATTGGAAGAACTGTCAAAGGATGAAAATGTCTTAGTGACTCAAGCAGACAAGGGTGGTGGGATCGTCATTATGGATAGTCCAACATATCATCAAAAACTGAACGATCTTTTGGCCGATGTGGAAACATATTCACAAAAAGCAGCAGGTTTCTGTAAAAAGCAAAACACACACTTCAACAAGAACGCAAGGAAAATCTTAAGAAAATCGGAGAAGGGAAAAAAGCTCCTCAACTTACTGGGAGAGTCTCCAAAGTCTCCCCAGCTCAAGGGCCTGCCAAAGATACATAAAGAAGGGAACCCGATGCGTCCAATTATATCAGGGATAGGCAGCGCGCCACATAAAATCGCGAAAGTCTTAGCCAAACCTCTAACACGGGCACTCGGATCCCTTAGTGATGCAAATTTGAGAAACTCAACCGAACTAATAGAACGACTTAAGAACATCGACATGTCGAACAAGAAATTGGCGAGCTTCGACGTAAAATCTCTATTCACCAACGTACCTGTTGAAGGCGCATTGGAAGCGATAAACGAGGTGGTTGATATGCTGGACGAACGATCACTTCCGATACCGAAAGCACATTATTTAGAATTAATTTCACTCTGTATGCATTTCAATGCGTTTTCTTTCAACGGACAAGAGTATGCCCAGCTTAGTGGGCTTGCGATGGGCTCTCCGCTCAGTCCTGTGGCTGCCTGTTTTTATATGGAGCGCTTAGAAGAAAACAGATTTAAAAGCATTATGGGAAATGAATGTACGTGGCTCCGTTATGTTGATGACGTGTTAGTGGTGGTCCCGGAAGATGTTTGCCTTGACGAAAAACTACGAAACCTCAATCAGGTGGAAGAGAAAATTCAATTTACGATCGAACGAGAAAACGACAGAAAAATACCTTTTCTGGACACACTCATAATGAGATGTGGAAGTGGGATAAAATTTTCAGTGTACCGCAAACCAACGAACAAGGAAGATTACGTACACTATTTATCGGGTCATAGTGAGCGCGTCAAAAGTGGTATAGTGATTGGATTTTTCTTACGAGCTTTCCGGATTTGCAGTGACGACTTTCTAACAGAAGAGATTAGACATATCTTTGATACGTTTGAAAAGTTACAGTATCCAAAAGGCTTCATTATTAGGGCAAAAAAGAAAGCAGAAGAAATATGGAAACGAAGTGCGGAAGAAAAGAAAAAACGAAAACAAGAACAAAAGAAACGAGGACGATTTATATCTATACCTCACTCGAAACATGCCGACTCGATATCGAACCAGCTTCGTGACATCGGATCGAACGTAGCAGTAGTCTCTGGTAGAAAAATTGCGAATTTGACTCGACGAAAACGTGAAATAACAAATGAAGAAAGTGTAGTGTACAAAATTCCCTGCTCGGGAGCTTGCAATAAGTCGTACATAGGAGAAACTGGAAGAGGTTTAGAAACAAGACTCAAAGAACATAAGCGCGACGTAAGAAATCACAATCGTTCAAATGCAATGGTCTTACACATCGAAACATGTGAAACTTTACCGAACTGGAACCAGGCTGAGGTCATAGAAAAAGGAATGTCCAAATCAATACGAAAGGCTTTGGAAGCAGCTCACATCTCTTTGGAAAACACAGTGAATGAGAAGCCGGGCTTCTTTACATGGGCAAAATCCGGAGCCAAAATGGCGTTAAAGAAAACTAAGAAAACGTAGAAAGGAAAACGAAAAGGAGAAGAAAAGGAGAGAGAGAGAGAGAAAAAAAGAAACATTTAAGAATGAATCTCGAAAGGAAGAATACGACTGAACGACATCTGATAACAGTTATGCCCGACAATTGTGCTGTGTATGTTTGTATAAGAAAAAGAAGTGTAGCATATCAATTATCATCTTATCGAAAGGTCATGCTTTAAAAGTTGAACGTGTCAAAAATGTATACTTAGTTTTTATAATCTCGAGTCTCATGTGCAGAATGGTTGAAAAATGTCCAGGTCATGTGTATTTTGAAAGTGTAAAAGATTATATTGATTAATTTATTAATGTATTAGTATCTCGGTATTGTCACTGACGAAGGCACCCTGAGGCCGAAACGTCTGGCTATTTAGAATATTTGCTTTTGTGTTATCATCGAAAGTGAATAAATATCACAATGTCTGACACGATACATCCGCTCGCTTCGCTCGCTCCGTAATAACGGTGTTGAGTGTAAAAGCTATTCCAGAATTGGAGGATCAAAAGCATGCGATAGCATGCTTTTGCATCCGGAAATTCCCATTGGTGGGTCGCTGAAAAAAGTTCGGCTGAACCTGTTTGTCAGTGAGTGAGTGAGTATGTGAGTTTGTCCAAGCTTTTTTGGACCTGGAGTCAAAATGGGTGGACCGATCGGGACGAAAGTGGGACCGTTTGATTCGTCTCCGGCGAGGTAAACTTTTGGTGCTGGCCTCGGTTCGCTCGGTGCTTCGTGGCACATGCTATTCCGCTTCAAAGTTTCGGTGACACGAAATTTTTTGTCAAGACTTCAGGTCAACCCGAGGTCACGGGCAAAGCCATACTGGCGGGACACATCGGTAACACCTTGAACCAGTTTCCAGGGGGGTCACCGTCTGCGAGGGGTGCAGGCTGCACGTGCTGGGGTCGGGAAACCGTTTTGACGTGAGGTCCTCTGGCTCAAAGAAATTTTAAGCTATCAACCTCAAAATCGGTTCAATGGTAGTCCCAGACAAGGCCTCCAAAATAATGCACATTTGGTTGAGCTAAACTCTGTGGTGCATGAGCTATGCACGTGCAAGCCGATTGCACCCCTTCGCACGTTGCCACGCCTGCAGGGTAAACGGCAGCTCTAACTGGTTAAAAACTTACAGGTCATAAGAAGAATACATTTGATCACGACATTCCGGCGAGATAATATCCGAGGGGTGCAAGCTGCGCGTGCGGGGGGCGGATAACGGTTTTGACGAGGGATCCTCTGATCCCGGGAAACGTCGATCTAGCGACACAAAAGTCGATTTTTAATGAAGTCATTGGGCTATGGATCCTTCAATTCTGGCCCAAGGCAACGCACGAGCGCTGCCGGCATCTAGTGCGTAGATGTCGGACATCTTTGGACAAATGGCCTGGCTTGGACATTTTTGGACGGACAGTCGACGTAAGTATTGGAAAGTGGACGGACATTGGACATACGTTTTCTGAAATTGACACCACTAGTAGATACCAGACACGGGGATAATGCCAAGTAAACTAATAACGGTATCCTAAGATTGAAAGAAAATTACGAACCATTAATTACAAAGTACGAACTAAACATGTTCAAACATCAACTGTTAACCCACCGAGGAACAGCTCTTCAGGCGTGTAGAACCGCAGTCCCACATTGATGGCGAACAGACGATCGGAGCACGAGAAGTCCTTCTTCTTCTTGGGTGCCCAGCCCTCTCGGCGGCCGGCCGCGTCTCCACAGTAGAAGCTCTCCTTCATGTCAACGGCACGCGATCCGTTTTCCTGCATGACGATCGGAACGATCACGTCTGTGAACTCCACAACTGGAGCGATGAGCATTTCACGATCTGAAGATTTTTTTTTATCCATAATTGACTCGTCACCTGGAGACAACATCAAGCCTATTTACTCATTTACATTTAGAAAAAACGCGATGCTTGTATCATCTCGAATAACCGAGTTAGCATACTTGTCAACCCAATTCTATAACGATGAAAAAACCGTTAACAAAATTAGTCAGTGGAAATTACCGTTTTGATCAGGTACTCCCACATCCCGGGCCGCGGTTTTCGGTACCAGCGGTCGCCGGGCGAGATGAGACACTGAACCGGCACACCCAGCCGACCGGTGATGTTCTGCAACTTGCGCCGCAGGTCCTCCGGCAGCAGCTTCCGCTTGCTGATGCCGAGCTGTCGGAGAGGAAGGCACGCCGTCATGTGGCGTGGAGTGAGGGGGAGGGGAGGATGCCGTTTTATAGTGGTGAGCTGAGTGGGAGGGCAGCCAAGATAGGGCAGGTGCGTGACCGTACCAGCAGCATAGTTGTAACATTATCCGCCGGATTCCCTATTGGACAGCAACATATATTCAATTAAACGTACCTACTTCGATAAAAAACGATATCGTAAAAGAACGAAAGGGCATACATCCCGCTTCCCTGAAAAGGTAAAAAAAACTTCTAAAATTTATTCACCTGATTTGTTAGAAAAACAATCTTGAAGCCACTTTTGCTGAGTTCTTTCAGCTTTCTGGGCACATCTGGATAGATGATCTGCCAGTCATCTCTGTCTTTGGCGAATGTTTTGCCCGACTTGGTCGTTATTATCGTTCCGTCCAGATCAAACGCCGCTATCTGAAACAGGTAAAACCGCCCAGGTTTAAAAAAGTGTTAGAATCCAACAGAAAGGGAAACTGGAGAGCCTGTCCCAACACGACATGCCTTTTTGTTTGCTTGTTTATTGGAGCTTTGGGGCGCGTCCACTACAATTACGGGCTTTTGCGCCCAACATGCCTTTTTGGCATGTTATCTGTATCGTTACCTATTTCAACAGTTCGATAGATCTTCGAATGACACTACGAATGTAAAGCGAGCATATCAAAGTTATCATCGACAAACAGTAAGCTCCGCAGCCACGAACGAGCAACAAACCTTCGAGGACGGCTTCACTCCTTTGGTGACAAACATCAGCAGCTGGTCGTTCTCTAACGACGTCCACTGTTCCGCGAGGGTCTCCTGTTCCTCGCCGTCCGACTGCTCGCCCAGTCCCTCCTCGTCCAATCCGGTGGCAGGAGCACTGTCCGGGCGAGCCCTCTTCGGGGACGGAGCCTCCACCGATCCCGCCGCCCGTTTCAGACCGCTGGGGCTGTCCTGATGGGCGGTGGAGGAGCCCGAGGCGGCGGTCGGCGGCGGCAGAAAGTGTACCGTGAACTGGTGCTGTCCGCTGAGCAGCTCCAGGGAGTCTCCGTGCCGCAGTGACACGGACTGGCCCTGAGGCAGCGGCCGGCCGAGCGCCGACGACGGGTTGGCGCCGAGGGTGCGCACCAGGACCGTGCCCGACGACAGGTCGACGTCACACTCAACTGTGGGTAAGAATAGTAGGTAAATGGAACTGAGATATGTGATCACTTCACCTGCAACCTTCATCAAATTTAAGCTTATTTTGTTACTATAACAATCATTTGACAAGACAAATACTCTCAAAATAAGTCTAGCCTTATATCTGCTTTGTTCCAGACAGCTGAAAGCATGACAGGTGTAATAACATCTTGTAGTGTTGCATGCTCAGCTAATTAGGGTGACATGACAGGTGTCATTTATGAGCTTTATTGGCAAGCACATATGGTTGATTTTAGAACACAAATGCCAAGGCTATTGGCTATTGCTATGTAACTGCTAAAATTATTGGTGAATATCAGGCTATACCAGGCCTACAAAAATTACAATCATGGTTAGTCATAATCTTTCAAGCAAAGCCCATTCTTTGAGATAGGGACCTCAGGAGGAGCAATGGCAGATTTCACACAAATCAGTGCAGGTCCACCATAAAACCAAGCTTGAGCTGACACCACTATGCTGGCACTATCAAACACTCTGAAAGACATGCTGCTTGGCGCCTGCTGGTGTTTAAGAGACTTCAGACCAGCCAGTGAGCAGTCGGACAAATTTCTATATCTTCTAGCTGCTCAAGCTGTGGATGAAAAAAGCTGGCTCACATCTTTAACTGTCTGGATCCAGTTCATGTTCAATAATGCAGTAGTGTTCATACCTTGCTTCTTAGAGCAGCGCACGTCTTTTATCATGGTCTCTCTTGACCTTCCAATGATTTGTTTTCCATTCACAAGAGGCACATTCACCCCATCTTTTCTCTTGAGTGTGCAACCAGAGAAGGACATTTTAATTTCCTACCAAGTCATTTAGGAAAATAAATGGATAAGAACTTGAGTTGTAGATTGCAAGCCAAAGATGGAAATGTTTTCATTCAGCAAAGTGAATTATTGGAGGCCTGTGAAAATCGCCTGCAAAGTAGGTGCCTATCCCAAAACACACAGCATTCCGTTCCAAACACACGTGTAGTTTTATTTAATGCATCAAAAATCTACATCTATTACTATTTACCACTGAATTATAACAAATACATAAATTTAGCACACACGTTGTTAACATATCACTATTTTCTGATACCATTATCATGCATTTTATTTCGGTAGAAAATCGCGTCAACAAATATAAACTGAACAAAAACTTTAAATGAATGTCCTCAGCAACAGATAATAATGCATCTGCAAGTAAAATGTTAAAATTGCAAACATAATTCAAGTGCGAAAAAACATATATAGTGTTAGCTCAGTACTTTTGACCTTGCCAATTCTCATATCAGCTGCAAGCCTCCTTTTATTGTCTACATATCTGGCGCAGATGTGACAAACAAGCTGTTATGATTTTTGCTTTTGATCTAGTTGCCATGGTAATTTCATAGCAGCCTAATGTTGAGATTCTATCTATCGGTGATACTTCGAATCCCCTGAACACTAGTCACAGCGCAATGATTTTCGCGAGCACGGCCTCGCCTTGACAACAGACCCATAATTCCGAGGAAAACGCGCAAAAAAAAAAACGCGGGAGAAGGCCTTAGTAACCGGGCCCCGGGGTCTGATACTGCCGGAGGGGCACATCAGGTTTCGTACCTATTTGTTTGGGAAAAACTGTGGTATGTGTTGGTGTAGTGATAGGGGATGACTGAGTGTGAATGTATGTAAATATGAACTGCTGACTGCTGGGCTGGAGTAGCAGGACCATCACCATGGCTATTTTCGTTACCAAGATAAATTAGCAAAACATTATTTTAACAGTTCAGGTAGGTAGGTACCTAGGTGGTAAATGTTGACATGAAATATCAACAAAAGTGAAATGTAAAAAATGTGCGCCAGCCGCCAACTATGTGTGTTTTGAAGAATTAATGTTTCGTTCACCATCTAATGCTATATCACGTGACCTTGAAAGCTGAGAGGAAAATTTACCCTGGTTTTCAAGGAAACATACCACTTCACATGGGTTTTTTAATTGAACTATCAGTTTTGTAGCCTAAGGTGAGACAAGAACAAATCAGTACCTAGCGTTTACAGCCCAATGATCACCCTAGCCAAAGTTACCTTTACTGATTTTAGTTCTGAAATCATGCCCTTATGAAGGAATGCATTCCCTTACTGAAGCATGCCAAGAATGTAGCCACCTGTGGCAGACCGCAGAGGCCAATGATCAGACAATCAGCATGCTGCTGGTTTGATTGAACTATGTAATATGGTTGGTCAACACATCAGCTTCTGCTGCCAACACTGTATAGCCTATACCAAAGATGGAAAGTAGTTCTTCCTATTTCATTTAAGAGCATTACAATGCTTTGTAAATGTTCATAATTATTTTCTTTTTTGGTCATTTCAAGCATGTAGTGAAAAACATTTCATAAAAGTGGCATATTCCCTGTAAGATAAAGTGAAAGCAGCAGCCAGCAATGAACTTGTCATTGCTGAACCGGACACTGGTAATTGTTAGGCACTATAGAATCATTGTGACATTGATAATTGAATATTGTTAGTTATTTGTTATATAGTTATTTTATTTATTTATCTATGGGGAAATTGATGTGTAGATATCTAAATTTAGCTGATTTTAATTCATTCAATAGTTACCTATTAAGCTATTTTATTTGTTGAGCTGTTCAAATTGAAGTGTTATTTTAAGCTAATGATTAAATGAAAAACAATTACAGCTGAACCGTTCTTTAACAATTCTGGAGTAGGGGAGAGTGGGGCAAAGCGGCCACCCGGGGCAAAGCGGCCACCCATCGTGGCCACCCATCGTTTTAGCCCTTCGTAGCTGGCGTCAGTTCCAATTTATGGTTTCCAATTATACTACATGCATTCTACCAATTTTAATGTTTTTTACCCCACTAAAAGCTAAGCTGGAATATTTTTGTCTCGGACCGTATGCGCGGGGCAAAGTGGCTGGGGCAAAGTGGCCACCCCCCTATTGGCCATAAGTTGTTTCCATCTGGATAAAAAACATTATTAATATTCAAATGTGTCGTCATGCATTCATCTTGGCCACTTTTCAGTTGCATGAGTTACCAAATAATGCAATTAAATGTTTTTTTTCATGAAAATCCTTTCTTTGTTTACCTACAGGTGGAAGATAATAACGTAAACATCCATCCTCGCTTAAACCTTGTCACCATCAAATACCCTAGTCGTACATGAGGCAACTATGTTGTTTCTCATATCGGGACTTGAGAAGACGCCGGTGGCCGCTTTGCCCCAGGGTATGGGGCAAAGTGGCCAAAATATGCATAGGTTTAAAGTTTTGTCGATATCTTTTATATGTGAACGCCTTTGGAAATAAAACGCAGTTGAAATGAAAGGCAACTTAATAGGGATCACATTTGTATAGAAAGAATCTTTCCAAGTTTAAAAATCAAGCGTTGGCATCGTGAGAAGTGTTAGGGTGGCCGCTTTGCCCCACTCTCCCCTAATGATTTACAAGAAGGGTGGCCTGCCCATGCGCAAGTCACGTTGGGCTCATTTTGGACTTTCAAATGAATTAATTGGAATGTAATGAAACAATAATTAGAGCTGGCAGACCAATGATTTAATTGTGCTGCAGCAAAGGCTGTGTCTGACACATGATGACAGACCTGCATGTGCTAATTGAGCCAGCAGGCAGTATTGAGCTCTGCACTTGTGCTATGCAATATGCATACACAGAAGCATTATAATGAGTGCTGGGAGTGGTATGCTTTATCCTGCACACTGACATGACTGATAATTGATTTCATTAAACTTCAGTCGGATATATGTACCTAACCCTTTCCTGTTTATTTCAGATACTTACAAAGGCAGCAGTTTGCTGAATACTGCTGATTTAGAGATGATCAAGTTTATTGTAAGTATCTCCTTGTCCTGGCACATGAAATTAACTTTTCCTTTATGGCAAACTAGGCTGATCTTACCATGACAACCAACTTTTGTTAGCAATTATCTCCTGGTTTGAGAAAATCACGTCCGCTTGGGCTCTGCAGCCAAGGGGGATGGGGCTAGACAGTAGAGTTGCAAAGTTTCCCTACCGCATTACCGGCATGCCGGTAATTTTTCACTACCGCAGGTTTTTTTGTGGTATCTGGCATGTCTTGCCGGTAGCATGCCGGTATTTTTGGTTTTGCACAAAAAAAAAATTATTAGCATATGATTCAAACTTTGGACACTAAGAGGAAAATGTGGCATCTCTTGTAGGGGTAAACTGGAATCAACAATGCAGGTTTTTTAGTATGCCGGTAATTTGGTGGTGTTTTTGCTTTGGGCGTGGTAGCATGCCGGTATCCCCAAAAAAAATTTGTGGGGCGGGGCGGTGCCGGTAGCAGCCTTTGGGGGAAACTTTGCAACTCTACTAGACAGGGAAGGGGTATAAACTTACATCCATAATTGTATTGCTTTTATTTGCAGGAGATACTAGATAACGTGATGATCATTATGGCATGTTGCCTTTACCTACGGCTATGGATATCGGCGATTGCATGGATATTGATAATCGTAAATCAGAAGGATTGAAATCCTTACACACAAAAAGATGGTTAGGTATTGTCCCACTCCCAGCAATGGTAAAAAAACGTAAATATTATAGGCCGATGTTCACTATTTCAGCTTGGTACAGTCTGAGGCGTAAAGATCGTAACAGAGTATAATCCTATAAAGTCCTCTGGGGCAGCTGTCGTCTGGGGGGGGGGGGCTGCTAGCTGATGCTGATGTTGCCTAGTTTGACTCCGCAATCCTACCACGCTGTCCCTTTTCCCGCCCGGTCCGCTCCTCCGGACCATGCCTCGCTGTCAGTGTGAGTTGTGCGCCCCCCCCCCCCCGCCCCCCTCCCGCGGCATTCCGACCCCGGTATTTCTGGCGGCAGTGCCGCGGGCTATTTGGGTCAGCGCGCGGCAGCGTCGGCGCCGGCAGACGGGCAGGAAGTCACGGGCTCGGACACGCGCTCTGCGCTAGTAGTAGTGCCGCGGAGAGAGTGGAAGAAGAGGCGGGACAGACAGTGACTGACCGATCGAACCACTAGCCACGGGTCATGACCCGCGTGTGACCGGTGACCCGGCCGTCGCCCGGTGACCTCTGGTGACGGGCGGGACACTCAGAGTGGTGCAGGATGGTGCTGGTGCTGCTCTACGACCTGGTGATGGTCGGCTTCATTGCCGCCCATTTATTAGTAGGTGGCGCAGTAAGCACACACTTTTCCTCTGTTGTGTTGTCGTCGCACTTTCCCTCTCGTCTCGTCGTCTGAATGGGCTATGTTGGCACTCAGCATTGTATGAATCCTTCTCCCCGACCACCGCTTATTTGTGAGATTTTAAGTCCGATAAACTCAACTATTGGAAGACACGCCAAGAACAGACGCAATGTCTCGACCATTGATTACCTTCTCCTTTTTTTCTAATGGACTAGTGAAGTAAGAAACTGCAGCCCATTTTCCAGGCCGTTTGACTTTTTTTTCGGTAGCATTATTTTGTGGATTCAGACGAACGCATCGTCACTGAAGTCTCAGAACCTTTTTTTTTTGCCTGACAAGGCCACTCCTAGCATTTTCTCGTCTGCAACAGTCGGCAGACATTTTTCTTTCTTTTCTCTCACTGCTCACATCTACGGATCGAACACCTTTAGGGTATGCAGTCACCCCATCCGCCTTCGGGCCGTTACGGATAGGAAAATGACTAGCTTCAGCGGGAGTAAAAGCGAACCGGGTTGCAAATGGCCCCATTCTCGGCGAGCGTTACGCTACCGGGAGCCGGTGCTGGGCTTGGCAGCCGTCCCTGCCTAATCACCCCGTAATACCGACCGGCTGGCGGTGACCCGTCTCAGCAGCAGCGGGAGAGGGAGGGAGGCGTGCTTCCGGGGAGGCGCGCTCCTCTAATGGCGTGAAGTGAGATCACCACAATCCCTGCTCTGCTACTACTCATGTGCCCAAGTCCTAATTACCCAAATCCAGAGCCCGCCATTGGGGTCGAATAGTTGGACACGCCCGATGAACTAACGCAACCCCCCCCCCCCCATTACGACCTCAGTGTGCACAAAGTGTGAACCTTATTGATCAGTTGATACCGACGGTATCCGCCGAAACCATGCCTTGCTATCGACTGTGTAACTAACCGTACTCTCTCTTTTCAGCTAACTTTTGGAGCCGGCGTTTACGCTGGCATCTACGCTTGCCAAAATTACAATGTAAGTACCGTGTGCGCCACGCCTAGCGGGAGTCAATACAGTTGAGATGTTACCTCAGTCATTGGACCGAGTTCGGTACGCCGATTCAGCAGCCCCAGTCAGTTATCGCCTCTGCGGCCGGCCGCCGGAACTGTCTACCGCCTATCGGCCGAGGTCAATGATAAGATTGTAGCGGATTAGCTTCACATTCTCATGTGTTATGCGTGTCTTATCGACCTAAAATGTAGACGGTCGAAGAGTGAATTTTTGTCGAAACGGTTCGTGGATGGGACCGCTATGCCTAACTTCTTACGATCAATGCGCTAAAATACCTCACTAACTTTTTCCACCTTAGCAACAGTGCTTCCGTGCGTCACCAACTGACTGCGACCTTATCGACAGATCGTCTGTGCGTTTAATATTGTGTCTGACAGATCTGTATTACTTTTTTTCCTCAGATCCCGCGGGTCGATGATCCATCAGAAATAATGGACAAAGTTCGAGAGTTCACCGACAAATACAAGAAGAATTGATAAAGTGAGTAACTGTCATCTCGCCGAAGGCGCTCGAACATAGTGCAATCAGATGTACCTATTGTGAAGAAAAGGTCGGTCGCAAAGCGGGGTACTTTCGGTGATTGCCTCTGTTTGAGAATAACTGCACCGTTACGAAACTGCGGACGCCATACTCTGTAGTTTGAACATGCTAGCCTAGTTCGAGAGCTGCACTTCTAATCGATAGTGTATCCATGGTAAAAAAAAAATATTGTGAGCTCCGAACCGTGTGTAGTTCGCGCGGTCATCACCGCAATGACAGTGCATTGACAGTCCGTTCAGTTGCGATGGTTTTCTCGTGTACTGTGTAGTGTGTATTGTTTGTCTGACAGCGCCCTCCCTCCCCTCCCGCAGGAGCCGTTTTAGCACCTGGCTGGTGCAGCAGCCGGTGAAGGACCGTGGAGTCTGGTCCGAAGCCGACCGCACCAGCCAGCCGTCAGACCCCGTGTATTCCAGTGTGGCAGATCAGTCAACTGCCTGACACAGCGCCCCGATCGAATGAAGCTCCTGCCGCCGTGATCACCGCCGCGTATATAAACACTGTTGGAACTATGACGTGTATTTTCATGTAAATAGAGCAGTATCCACTGACGAACGAAGGTGTCTGGTGGATGAACGGTGACCGGCGGCGCGCCGGCGCGCGCGGTGGCGGCGGCGGCCGGCGCGCGCGGCCCCTTGCTGATGACGGATGACGGCGGTGGTCGGTGGCGGGCCGGACGAACGGTGCGATGACGAGCCCAGAGACCGGGCGCCGGCGCGGCGCCATCTCTGTCCGTCCGTCTCTGGGCGCACTGCGGTGTGCTCACTGGTTGTACGTCGGCACTGATCGTCCGCCGAGCCACACACATTCGTGTCCCATCGCCCGGCCGTGCGCGGCCGCACCTCAGTCCTCTCGTTCTCTCTCTCTGGCCTCTCGCCTCCCGGGCTCCCGGCTCGCACATTCCCGTCGGTCACACACGTCTGGCGCACGCCTCTCCCTCACTCCCGGCACCTACTGGCCGGAGAAGCGGACGTCAGAACGACCAGCAATGTGCACCTGAAAACGAACAGCGTCATACCAGCTTACCTCCTCGGCGCGGCGGCAACCCGACCGACCAGTCAGACTAGCACTCCAACCCCGGCAGTGGACTACTCTCGCACTCAAACCTGAAATCGTGATCTCCAGTGCACTCGGAAAAGGCGACGGCTTCTCGCCGCACGCCCAATTCAAAAGCGACCACCTACAACTTACCTGTGATCGGGAACGTCTGACGACGCTACGAAAAAACTCGACTCACGCTCACTTGCGCGCTATGGATAAAACAAACTGGGGGGTGGGGGATATCGCGGGCATTACGGTGTGCTCCGACGAAGCCGGTGCGTGGCGGCGGCCCTGGTGGGTGGTCTCCACGGCACGGCGGCCGTCGGTTGTCCGCTGAGCGCTGGCGGTCGGCCGCTCTATCTCCTGCGGCGGTCCCGGTCCCGATCGGCCGACCGCGACCGCGAGCGGCTGCGGCGCGACGCCGCCTGGATGGCCTCCAGCCGCTTCTGGCGCTCGGCCATGCGCTGCCGGCGCTGCCGCTCCTTCTCGGCGATCTGTTCGGCGGTCAGCGGCAGCCAGTAGATGCACGGCGTCGCCTTGGTCTTTCGGAACAGGTCGTCCAGCAGTTTGGCTGGCGCCTCCTCCTTCTGCCGTTTCTCTGTCGGGACGCAGATTAACAGCTCGGTCAAATCGGTGCCATGGTGGCAGGGCGAGAGCGTGCGTTGACAGCAGCTGTAGATGCCGGTCGATCATGTTGAAACACAAGCACATCAACATTCAACGATCAAAACGCGATTTGACCAGTGACCATAATAACACGATGGGAAGTCTAAATCGTGCAGCTGCGACCACCGAGCACAAACTTATGTCACATTTCCAACGGTCATACCGTTCAAACACGCAGCATCTCTAATCTCTATAAGACGTGTCAATTACTGGTGCTCACTCACCCTTGCGCTCCTCCTTGTCGGCGGCCGTGGCGGGGCTCCTGCTGCGCCGCTTCCGACGCTCGGTCTCCTCCTCGCGCTCTCTTCGGCGCCGCTCGCGCTCGCGCTCCTTCTCGCCGGGACTGGTCTCGCCTATTTTCACCTTGTCCCACTCCCGTACCGATTCGCGCTGAAAAAGAACCGGCTGTCAGAGATCTGCAATTCAGAGACAGAAACACTGACATTTGGATAAACTGACGCACACACTGCAAGTGAAGCCAGCACACCCCCTAAGACCAGCCACCTTCCAATTCAACTTGGCCCACCCCGATGCCTCCCGGTGCCACCCCACCCCGATTTACCCACCCGTTTCTCTCTGACGGTCTCAGCACGCAGCTCCTCCTGCTGGCGCGTGGCGAAGTACGGGTCCACCTTGAGCGGCTCAGTCTTCCTGGGGATCTGTTCAGTGAGCGCCTTGTGGAAGTCGAGCTCGTCGGCCGTTGAGAAGTCGACCAGGAGCTTCTTGGGGTTGGAGGGCGGCCAGCGCACGCCGTGGAGAGCGGTACGAGTCTCCACCGCCTCGGCGTCTGTCTCGTACTGTTGACGGAGAGGGGGGGGGGGGCGTCAGACACTTCACGGGTGACACGGGGCATGGTTGGTTATCATGGGTAGTGCCTTCTTGTTGAATTAAAAATAAAAGCATTCAGGTCCAAAGCTTCAATTAACTACCTTCCTTACCTACCAAAAACAGGATTGGCACAACTGGGAACCAGCTCACTGTTGTTGATCAACTAAATGCGGCCACTTATCCTCCGAGCTGCCAATGATGTCTACACTTTCTGAATCTACTCTGATCCCGTCAGCTTACGGCAGTCCACGATCTCTACCCAGCCACTGAATACCCTGCGAGACAGCTCACCTGGCAGTAGCACTTTGACTTGATGTTGTCAATCCAGAAGTCGGTGATGTTGCCCGTGCGCGCCAGCAGCTCCTTCAGCTGGTTCACGGTGAACGGCCGCACCAGGTTACGGATGTGAATGACGCTGGAGGCAGAGTTCCGTGCCGGGGACGGCTGTCGCTCGATGCGCGGCGGCCGCCGGCCCGGCTGTGGACCGCTCTCAGCGCCGCCGGGTACGTCCTGCCGGGCGGAGAGGATGGAGGGTTAGGAGAGTCACGAGCGCACTATGGCGGTCTGACCAGCAGCCTGAAGCGAGCTGGAGGGATGCCAGCCTGTAGTTGTCAAGCGTGTTATCAATTCATGTCATGACTACATACAGAACATATTGTACAGGCTAAATGACCCACAGACTAAACCACCATTGATTACAAGATCGCATGTAAATGTTCACCATTCATTACAAGATCGCATCTAGCTGTTCTGCACGTCTTCGCTCCTTTTCATCAATTTTCTCTGTCCCTTGTGCCTTCCGCGCTAGCCGGTCCGTCCCTTCTCTACGTTCACCAGCCAGCTCACCTGAGTGACTGTTCGTTTGATGAGTGGCGGCGGCGCCGGACCCTCCTCCTGCGGGCTCTGCGGCCGGCCGTTCTCCGGCGCGGCGGCGGCGGTCTCCGCGGCGGGAGAGGGCGAGCGACTGCCGGTGGGCGAGTCGTCTCGGCGCTCTCCCTCCTCCTCGGACTCCGACTCGAGTCGGACGGCCTCCTCCGAGAGTGGCCGCACATCCGGCACCAGGTCCTGGTGACACGGCGCGAGACAGACGGTCAGCACACAGCTCACACAGACGCTCAGCCCGCGCAGCCACTCGCCATCCCCTTCAAACACTCGGCCTCTTCTTACAGACCCGTAAGACCTCCGCAAGCCCGCCAGTGCCACCCCTTCCCCGTATGGGCTATCAGCCAAGGAAAGTAGTCAGCCAACGCACAATACCAATTATCAAGCATGCAGCTCCACCAAAACTACGGTAACGCGAACTGGCTTCGACACATGGTACGCTAAATTCAGCAAAACGCCCCAACTTCGCCTGTTTGCCCGGCGTCCTGTGCCACGTACCCTGAGTGAATCTGTCGATATGCTGACTGGCTTTTTGTCGCCGTCCGGTCGCGCCGCGGCCCAGCGCCGGCGCCGCTTCTCGCCGGGAGCAGCCTCGCCATCCTCGGGCCGCCGCCGGTCCCGCTTCAGGGAGACTGGTGACACGAGAGAGGTGTCACAGTCAGTCACGGACAGTGCAATCACGAGCCACGACAGGCACAGTTGTAAGCGACAGTCTCGGATATCTCTTATGTTCATTCTTGCAACGTTAAGGAAGGAGGAGCGGTACCATAATTAATTACACTTTGTTGTAGCAATTATTAGGCTAAGACGAAGGCTATCCCGATAGTTCGGGCCGCTGTTACACTGTTTAGGCTGTTGCACTACTACCACCTAGGTTATCGTATCGCGCTGAAGGTGAACCAAATGCAACAAGGAAGCAGATAAACGTGACAGAACGAAACGAAATAAAAAGATCATTGCATAGGTGAATATGCAGGACCTTTCTAATGTTGTGTTCTGCCGTCCCGCTCAGTGTCCTGCCCCGGTCCGGGCTCGCTCGACTCACCGAGTCTGCGGAAGGTGGGCGCCGGGCCCGCGGCGGGCGCCGCCGTCTCGGCTGGCTCCGGCTGCTTCTCCGGCGTCCGCTCCGGCCGAGTCTCCGGCTCCGGGGTCGTAGCGGCGGCTGGGGGCGCCTGGACGGGCGAGCGGCGCCGCTCCCTGCCCCGACCGCGCTCCGAGTCACTGCTGGAGGCCGACCTGGCGGCGGGAGAGAGAGGGAGGTCAGCGGCGACGGACGGCAGGTGGCGGCGCACACGGCCGGGGGCTCGGTCGGCAAATCAGTGCTCATCACAGAGCGTACCAATGGACTGTCCCGAGCAAAGCGCAATAGAAGGATAATTAGAGTTGTGCTTTAAAACGCTAGGCATGAAAAGGTTGTTTATCAACCGACTCCGAAAATATCAGACGCATTGGCTATATCAGCTACCTTGTACGATCCGCGATGGCGATTGAGCCACAAAATCGTACCTGTCACGGCGACTCCTCTTCCTTGGACTCCCCTCGCGCCTCGAGACTGGTGCCGTGTCATCAGACTTGCTGACAGACTCTCTGTGAAAAGAGTAAATGGGACAGGTGCTGAAATGGTCTTGAAAAGCATACCGCTATTTAGTCACTTATCAGTCAAGTAAATAACCCTCAAACTTGTAGAAAAATGGAGATCATCTTCTACTTGTGACACGTACCTAGTGGAATAAGATGACCGAGTCAAAGCTAACGTGTCGTGAAGGGGAGAAAGAAACACGCCCAACTGTAGGAACGAGTGTCGCCCGCCACTTACTTTTTGTCTCCGGTGCTGGAGTTCCGTTTCAGTTTGAGTTTTCGCTTCTCTTCCTTCTTGAGAGGCTGTGCTTCTTCTTGTTCCCGTGAAGATTCCTTCTTAGAAGTATCATCTGCACTTTGTTCCGGCTTCTTTTTGTCACCGTCAGCCTCAGAAGCGGCCGCTTTAGTGACAGCTTCGCCGTCGTTCTGTGAAAGGAAACGCCGGAAATCGCGGTCATCGAAAGTCGGCAAGCAACTGCACCAGTGTATAACTGCTCTGGAAGAAGCACTAATACAAATTTTCAGCTAGAATAAGGCAAATATGAAAGGTCGTTGGAAAC